TATATCTATCACCCCTCAATTTAAAGCTATGTCCCCTCGTGCTAGCCATCACCATCCAAGGAAAAAGGCTCCCACTGTCCACCCTATCTAATCCTCTGATCATCTTGTATGTCTCTATCAAGTCACCTCTTAACCTTCTCTCTAACGAAAACAGCCTCAAGACCCTCAGCCTTTCCTCATAAGACCTTCCCTCCATACCAGGCAACATCCTGGTAAATCTCCTCTGCACCCTTTCCAATGCTTCCACATCCTTCCTATAATGCGGTGACCAGAACTGTACGCAATACACCAAGTGCGGCCGCACCAGAGTTTTGTACAGCTGCAACATGACCTCATGGCTCCGAAACTCAATCCCTCTACCAATAAAACCTAACATACTGTACGCCTTCTTAACAATGCTATCAACCTGGGTGGCAACTTTCAGTGATCTATGCACATGACTTGTGCCTTGTAGATGGTGGACAGGTTTTGGGGAGTCAGGAGGTGAGTTACTTGCCACAGTATTCCTAGCTTCTGACCTGCTCTTGTAGCCACCATTTATATGGCTGGTCCAGTTGTGTTTCTAGTCAATGATAAACCCCAAAGATATTGATATTGGGGGATTCAGTGACATTAACACCATTGAATATCAAGGGACAGCACTTAGATTGTCTTTTATTGGTGATGGGTATAGCCTGGCACTTTGGTGGCACAAGTGTTACTTGCCACTTGTCAGCCAGATAATATTCAGAACTTGCTGCTTTTGGACATGGGCTGCTTCAGTTTCTGAGGAGTTGCAAATGCTGCTGAATATTGTATCAGTAAATATATTGCTGTTCCTTCACTGTTGCCTAAGGGCATTGTAGGTCTACCTGCAGCAGTTCTGCCAGTCAGCCAATCCTCTCTCCATGCCAGTACCTTTCCCCCAGCAGCCTCCTGTGCAGCACCTTGTCACAGGCCTTCTGGAGATCCAAATAGATCACATCCACTGGCTCCCCTTTGTCTAACTTTCTCATTACCTTCTCAAAAAATTCTAACAGATTTGTCAGGGATGACCTCCCCTCGATGAAGCTATGCTGACTCAGCCCTATTTTACCACACACTCCCAAGTACTTTACAATCTCATCCTTAATAATGGACTCTCAAATTTTACCAACAACCAAAGACAAGTTAACCGGCCTATAGTTCCCTGTCTTCTGTCTCCCTCCCTTATTAAACAGAGGTGTTACATTAGCTTTTTTCCAATCCTTTAGGACTGTCCCTGACTCCAGAGATTCCTGAAGGATCTCCACCAATATGTCTACAATTTCCTCCGCTAACTCCTGCAGAATGCTGGGGTGCAGTCAATCCAATCCAGGTTAATTATCCATCTTCAGACCTTTCAGTTTCCCCTGCACCTTCTCCTTAGTGATGGCTACCACTTATCTCTGCCCCCTGATTCTCCTGAAGTTCTGGTCTGCTGCTGGTGTTTTCCACCATGAAGACTGGGACAAAATACCCGTTTGGATCCTACGCCATTTCTTTGTTCCCCATCACTAGTTCTCCGGCCTCATTTTCCAGTGGCCCAATGTCCACTCTTGCATCACTCTCCTACCTTTTATGCATCTAACTCCCCCTCTTTCCCCCTTTAACGTACTGAGGCTTATCGTTGACCAGAAACTCCACTGAAACAGCCATATAAATGCCATGGTAACTTGAGCAGGTGAGAAGCAGAATAGTCTTCAGTGAATAGTTGATCTTCTGATTTCCTGAGAGTTCCTCCCTGCTTCTTACACACAATCCCAAAGGTGACAGAATGCTTTCCACTCCCCCTGTATGGAACGGTGAATGGGGAGGGACTGGTGTGGGGGAGAAACAGAGCGTGTGTGTTGACTGTGGCTTGAACCATTTAATAATTCCTGTGTTTGTCTCTGATTAAACAGCGTGTGATGATTGGGCAGCACAGGGAGGGATTATGAGATTGATTCCGAAAGGGATATTTTGAGGAGGGCTAATGGGGTTTTGTGGATTTTTTTTCTGATATTTGGGAAATGTTTGAGGATGTAACAAATGTACCCCCCTGACAGAGGCTCCAGCCTTGTGAAGAAACCACGGTTTTCTTGAGGGTCTAAGAGGGCTGTCTCTCAGATGATCTCCTGCTCGGGGTGTTGTTCTGGTTGGGTGCCTCCTCTCTCCCAGTGTCTCTCGCGTTGCAGTAAATGCCTCCTGTGTCTCTTTTCCCCAGAGAGTGGTGCTCAGCGCCAGACCAACCATATCGAGGATCTGAACTCCATTAAAACCAGGTTCTCCCTGCAACGTGTGTGGAAACCAGATGAGAACTTGTGTTACATCATCCCTGGGCAAGAGAGCTCTCTGAGCAAATGCAACTTCAACAGCACCACCAACACGTTCCTAATCATCCACGGCTGGAGTGTGAGTGCTTTACATTGATTTGTCCTCCGTATTGTGTTAGCACAGGACATCATACAGCAAGCACATCGTCCAGCGCTGTTATAAACTCCTCAATACACAGGGAGCTCCACTGTGGGGCAGGTTATACAGAACAGGCTTGTACTCTCATACAAGACCGGAGGGATAATCCAATTGATGTCTATGAATAGTTAAAGGGTATGAGTGAGAGAGAAATTATTTTCCCTGGTGGGGCAGTTGATAACAACATCTGCATTTATTTAGTGCCTTTAAAGTAACAAGAGCATTAAAAAGCAAAACTGAGCCAGCCAACGAGGTGCTAGGACGAGAGACCCCCAAAATCCTGGCCAGAGGTTTTGAAGACATTGTCGAAGAAAGGTGAAAGGTTTCAGGAAGGAATTCCTGAGCTCAGGGCCCTGGGCGGTTGAAGAGGAGAGAATTGGTGGAATGAGGGGTCGCTGAGGATTTTGAGGGCCAGAGGAGATTCCAGAGATAGGGAGAAGGGTGATGTGGCATGGAGGGATACAAAGGATGAGGAATTTAAAATCGAGGGAGTGTGAATTTAATGAAAACCAAAAGAACTGCGGATGCTGTAAATCAGGAACAAAAACAGAAACAGAAGCTGTTTCTGAGGAAGGGTGACCGGACCCGAAACGCTAACTCTGGCTTTTTTCTTCACAGATGCTGCCAGGCCTGCTGAGCTTTTCCAGCAACTTCCGTTTTTGTTTGTGAGTGTGAACTTAAAGTGGTTGCTGAACCCTTTATGTATGAAATTAGGAAGTGTTGTCTCACAGAAAGAAATTGGTAACTCTTTTTCCCCCCGAAAAAATTTTGAGACAAAATTGTAACATTTCAAAACCAAGATTGACAGACCTTTTTGGGAAGGTAGACAGGTTTGGAACAAAGTTGAGTAAATGGAGTGAAGATACAGCCAAGGTACGAGTAGACATATGGGTTAGTTTCTACAGCACTATAAAAGTAGGAGTGGATGTAGATTGGTTTGTGTCAATTCTCAGTGACGTAGCTCCTCATGTAATCATTTTGCTTCCACTAAACATAAAGTTGCTCCTTTTCTAAACATTCTGGAACTTCTTCCAAAGAACATTTTTAAATTGTAAGCATGAAGTAACTTATAGATTCTAGATGTGATGTGCCCTTGCAAACATGACTCTCTGTGATCCCCAGCACTTCTCGTTCTCCATTCAGAATTGACGACAATCATTTAACTCTTTCTAACCTCCTACAGTCACCAACAGAAAGAATTTGACATGGAGCTTCAGATTGGTAAAGTTAGATCACATGGGATTCAAGGTGAGCTTGCCAATTGGATACAAAATTGGCTTGAATGTAGGAGACAGAGGGTGGTGGTAGAGGGTTATTTTTTGGACTGGAGGCCTATGACCAGCGGTGTGCCACAGGAATTGGTACTGGGTCCACTTTTGTTTGCCATTTATATAAACGATTTGGATAAGAATATACAAAGCATATGGTTAGATAGTTTGCGGATGACACCAGAATGGATGGTATAGTGCACAGTGAAGAAGGTTATCTAAGATTACAAAGAGATCTTGATCAAATGGGTCAAGGGCTGCAGTGGCAGCTGGAGTTTAATTTGGATAAATGTGAGGTAATGTGTTTTGGTAAAACAAACAAGGGCAGGATTTAGAGATAGTAGGAACTGCTGATGCTGGTGTCTGAGATAACAAGGTGTAGAGCTGGATGAGCACAGCAGGCCAGGCAGCATCAGAGGAGCAGGAAAGCTGATGTTTCGGGTCTGTACCCTTCTTTTCTGAAGAACGATCCAGACCCGAAACGTCATCTTTCCTGCTCCTCTGATGCTGCCTGGCCTGCTGTGTTCATCCAGCTCTACACCTTGTTATCTAAGGGCAGGACTTATACAATTGATGTTAAAGCCTTGGGTAGTGTTGTATAACCGAGAGACCTATGGGTTCAGGTACATAAATCTTTGAAATTTAGGTGTAAGAAGGTGTATAGCATGCTTGCCTTCAATGCTCAGATGGTTGAGTATAGGAATTTGGACATCATGTTGAGGTTGTACAGGATTTTGGTGAAGGCTGTTCGGGAATACTGTGTGCAGTTCTGGTCACCCAGCTATAGGAAGGATGTAATCAAGCTGGAGAGGGTTCAGAAGAGATTTACTAGGATGTTGCTGGAAATGGAAGGTTTGAGATATAAAAATAGGCTGGAAATTAGAGGTTAGATTTTATAAAATCGTGAGGGGCATAGATAAGGTGAATAGCAAGGGTGCACTCCCTAGGGTGGAGGAGTTCAAACCTAGGGGGCATATTTTTAAGGTGAGAGGACAAAAATTTAAAAAAGACATGAGAGGCAATTTTTTTTTTCTCTCACAGAGAGAGGATCACGTGTGGAATGCACTTCCTGAGGGAGTGATGGATGCTGGTACAGTTACAATGTTTAAAAGACAATTAGGATAAGTACATGGATGAGAAGAGTTTGGATGGATATGATGTGGAGGTGCTGGTGTTGGACTGGGGTGGACAGGGTCAGACTGGGTTATAGATATGGGCCAAGTGCAGACAAGTGGGACTTGTTCACTTTCGGGAGCATGATTAGTGCGGACTAGTTGGACTGGAGAGTCTGTTTCCATGCTGTATGACTCTCTAAAAGGAAAATGTTAAAGGTTATACAAAGGAGAGGGAAGTGTGAGCATAAGAACGCCTGTGATGAGGTTCAACAGGCCTAGGTCATGTGGAAGCAAAAGCTACGGTGCTCAGCCTGATCACAAAGTTCCGTAAGCCCAGGCTGCCCGAGGTTGTCCCTACTCTCATGTTACTGAAGCTGCTGAGGAGCTTATTGAGGAACAGAGGGACTGACTTTCTGTTTGTCTGCCTTCAGGTGAGTGGATTGTTTGAGAGCTGGATTGAAAAGTTAGTTATCGCTCTGTACCAGAGAGAGCCTGATGCCAATGTCCTTGTTGTGGATTGGCTTGATCGTGCCCACCAGCATTACCCAATAGCAGCCCAGAATACTATGTTGGTTGGTCGAGACATCAGCAAGCTAATTGATTGGCTGGAGGTGAGGAGCTGTTTCCAGAGGCACAGTTATTTAAGTTCTTTACCAACTCTGCTGCTTTCAATCTAATAGCATCTGTTTCCTTGGTTCTCATAGAAAGAAAAACAGATTCCTCTCGATAAGGTGCATCTGATTGGATACAGCCTCGGGGCTCATGTGGCTGGCTTTGCAGGGAGTCACACAGCCAATAAGATTGGCCGGATTACAGGTAGTGCAGTGAAAATGTTTCCGATTGGCTCATTCCACCCTTGACAAGATGCTGGTTGGCAGTGTATGTGTGTGTATGTTGGTGTATATGACAGTGCCCTCCACAGTTCATCAGCTTCACAGCACCATTATCGATGGGCACACTACCCCAGCTACCAAGGGGCCTAACAACCTCTAACCACACAGGACAGGCCTAACCCATCCCTCTCTGTATCCGGATGGGCCTAACCCCTTCCCCAGACAGGGCTAACTCCCACTGGACAGCGCTAACGCCCTCCTCCTCCCCCCAAGGGACCTAACCACCTCACCCAGGACAGGTGTAATCTCTATTACACCGTCCCCCCAACTCCCAAACCAACAAGCCTAACCTCCACCCCAAGGACAGGCCTAACCTCTCGGCCTGCATCAGGCCTAACCTCCAACACCCATTTGATGAAGCAATCCTGACCCTGACCCTGACCCTGACCCTGACCCTGGCCCTGACCCTCGTCCTCACCCTCACTCTCACCCTCACCTTCGCCCTCCCCTCACCCTCTATCCTGTGCCTGTTCTTTACCCAGGTAGAGGTTGAGCACTATGATGGTGATGGCGATGATCATCATGGTGACAGTACAGAGCCAAACACAGGGCTGGGCTGAGAAAGAAATTTGGAAATTAGGTGTCTCGAATTTTGTTTTCTTGAGGAAAAACGTTTGATTCAAACCTGGCTCCAATGTTGCCACCCCTTTAGGACTGGACCCCGCTGGGCCAATATTTGAAGGAACCCACGCTCATGGACGGCTTTCTCCCGACGATGCCACTTTTGTCGACGTTCTCCACACCTTCACCCGGGAATCTCTAGGAATCAGCATCGGGATTCGTCAGCCAATTGGACACGTGGACATCTATCCGAATGGAGGGAGTTTCCAACCCGGCTGTGACCTACAGAAGGCTGTGAACAACATTGCCACGTTTGGCATCTTTGGTAAGAGGGTGCCAGGCTGCAACAGTGACTGAATGGTTTCCCATTGTGGGCACGGGTTTAGACCCAACCCTGGACAGAGGTACTGGTGAAGGCCTTCAATTATGTGTGGAGACCCAAGAAACAGGGAGCTGGTATTTGTAAAACACTGTTGTACTATCTACAAGATGCACTGCAGAAATTCACCAAAGATCCTCAGACAGTACCTTCCAAACCTACGATCACCTCCATCTGGAAGGACAAGGGCAGCAGATACATGGGAACACCACCCCACTCAGTCATATATCACTGTGCCTTCAGTGTCAATGGGTCAAACTCCTGGAATCCCCTCCCTGAGGGCTTTGTGGGTCAGCCTACAACACATGGATTTAGGACATAGGACACAGGACAGTACAGCACAGTACAGGCCCCTCAGCCCACGATGTTTCCCGCAGGTGCTCCGGTTTCCTCCCACGGTCCAGGGATGTGCAGCTTAGGTGGATTGGCCATGCTAAATTGCCCAGAGTGCTCAGGGGTGCAGGCTGGGTGGATTAGCCATGGGGAATGCAGGGTTATGGAGATGGGATAGGTAGGTAGGTGGGTGTGGGTGGGATGCCCTTCAGAGGGTTGGTGTGAACTCATAGGGCCGAATGGCCTGCTTCCACACTGTAGGGATTCAAGATTTATATAACACCTCTCACATCCAGATTACGAGGTTCCAGATGTCATTGCCCTGCTTAATCTACTGATGTTCGGTGGGTTTTGGAGTGAAAGTGCATAATAAAACAGATAATCCAGGCTAATTAAGGGAGTTAGGGCTTGGGATAGGGCTTGGGAGGTGGGGTGGGGGTAATCTGATCCCAATAACCAGGGCTCAGGGTGGGGTGGGGGGGATGCTACTGTCCTTGTGTTGGGAGTAGGGGAGTTTCTGATGGGACAGAGTCTGAACTGCCGGCTCTCTCAGTCTGGCATGTGTAACCTTTTAGCCCAGCTCCATGTTAGTGAAACATACTGAGCCGGTCCCTGTCTCTCCTCCAGCGTTTTCGGAAGCTGTGAAGTGTGAACATGAGCGATCGATCCACCTGTTCATCGACTCCCTGCTGTACAAGGAACAGCCCTGCAAAACCTATCGCTGTAACAACCCCAAATCCTTCGAGAAGGGCATGTGCCTGAACTGCCACAAAAATCGCTGCAACACGCTGGGCTACGACGTCAAGCGGGTCGCCAGTAAGAAAAGTACCAGGATGTACTTGAAGACCCGGGCCAACATGCCATTCCGAGGTAGGACAAAGCTGATTCCTGTCTGGATTTGGGGAATGGGGTGGGGAGAACACTGCCTGGCTGTGGGACAGACCCATGAATATGTCCCCAAGGTCTCCACAGGCAATAAGCCCATAAGATATAGGAGTAGATGCAGGCCATTCAGCCCATCATGTCTGTTCTGCCTGTCAACAAAGTCATGACTCAGCTGATAATTCACGACTCCACTTTCCTGCCTTTTCCCTGTTGCCCACGATTCCCTTCCTGATTAAAAATCTGTCTGTCTCAGCCTTGAATATACTCAATGAGCCAGCCTCGAAAGCCTTTTGCTGGAGGGTTTATAAAGCAAGTATGAGGCTTTTTCCCAGGGTGGAGGTGTCAATTACTAGGGGACACAGGTTCAGGGTGCAAGGGGGAAAGTTTAAAAGAGATGTGCGAGGCTCGTTTTTCACACAAAGGGTGGTGGGTGCCTGGAATGTGCTGCCAGAGGAGGTGAGGGAAGCAGACGCAATAGCAGCTTCCAAGAAGCACCTGGACGAATACATGAATAGGAAGGGAATAGAGGGATACGGATCACATAAGGGAAGAATGTTTTAGTATGGAAGGGCAAAATGTGTTGGCGCAGTCTTGGAGGGCCAAAGGGCCTGTTCCTGTGCTGTACTGTTCTTTGTTCTTTGCTTCCTTCTGAGAGAAGAAATTCCTCCTCCACCTCTGTCATAAATGTGTTCTGAGATGATTCTGTGTGGTCCTAGATTCTCTGAGAGGGAAACAACTTCTCCGCATGAGGAACAACAGGAGGAAACTCTAGCAGCAGGGGATAAATCCTGGAATGGGGCTTGGGAGAATCTCATGGTCCTATTAGTGGTGGGGGGAGGATACGGGGTACCACTAGACTTGCACTGTGCGGCTCAGAGCAGCACCTCCCACTTCTGACCTGACCACTGAACAAAACGGAGCTGTTTGGGCCTGTCCATTTCTGATCCTCTTCCAACTGGATCCCCCTCCCAGAATTAGACAGCTTCCTTTCCCTGCTCTGGATCGTTAAAGTCAGTGCCTGGCACCTTTGCTGGCAGCACTGCAGAGCAGGTTAACATTAGCATTGGCAAAAGCAGAGCAGGTAAGTAATAACACTTTAACTGCTCATAATTGCCCCCTGCACATGGTGGTGGGGCGGGGGGAGTAGGGTCCAGCACTCTTGTAATTGTGGGTTTACCCACCAGTGCCAGCTTTTGGGGCATAGTTCACCCTCTGGCAGGGCATTTAGGGGGGAATTTAATCAGTGCTGATTCTTGTGAAGGTATTGAGCAGTGAATAGAGGGAAACATTGGTTACACTGGCAGCTGGAAGGTCAATACAACCAGATGAGACCAATTTACAGTAACTGGCCCGAGATCAAATGGGAGCTAAGGATAACCACTTAATGAGCTGTTGTGGTCTGGTAGGTTCAGTGATAACTTTCAAAAGGGAATTGGATTCATTCTTGGAAAGGAGAAATTTGCAGAGAGATGGGAGAATGCAGGCTGGATTGATTGGAGAGCTAGAAGCCAGCATGGGCACAACAGGCTGAGTGGCCTGTTCCCTCTCTGGCTGACTGAAAAGCTGGGCTCTGTCCTGTGTCATTTCTCAGTGAGAAACCTTGTAAAAAGTTCCTTTGCTTTATACTGAGCTTTAATCATCAAAGCAGAAGCAGGGGGTTAAAAGCTTTGCAGAAGCAATGAAACGGATTCTGTCTCTCTGTTCCTATTTGAGTGCGGACAAATCCAATCGAAATTCAATAACCGTTAGATCAGTTGAGGATGTGAATTTCTCGGGGACTGAGCTGCCGGTGTGATGTGGATGGAGGTGTAGGGTCTAGACTGACCAGCCCTGGGCCCTGCTTGGTTTGCTCTCCATTAAAGCTGCCCTCTGACGTTGGCAGCTAAGTGCCCAGGGTCTGCTCCAGCAAAGCCATGGGAGAGTTTGGGTCCTGGCCACACTCTGAGGAGAATTCTGCAATGAGTCTCATTGTATTAATTACATCGCCACAAATCCAACCTCTGGCTGGCAACAGCAACTGGTATTTATATTGCACCCAAACGTAGCAAATCATCTTCAAGGAGTGTATTCAAACAGGGAGATGGTAGAGTGGTGGTAATGTCACTGCCTAGTAGTCTAGAGTGCCAGGCACATGTTCTGGAGACATTGGTTTGAATCCCTCCGCAACAGCTGGTAGAATTTAAAATTCAACAGTTAAATCTGGGACCAAAACGTTAGTCTCAGAATTGAAATTATTTAAACAAAACAATTTTCATTAATATCCTTTAAGGGAAGGTAACTGCTGCCCTTACCCAGTTTGGCTTGTGACACAATGATGTGGTTAACTTTTAACTGCCCTCTGAAATGGCCTAAAGAGCCACTTGTCAAGGGCAATTAGGGACAGGTAATAAAAGCTGCTGTTACCAGTAGCACCCACATCTGACAAAAGGGAAAACACAACCATTTGGTTTTCTGTGGCAGTGAGTGAATGAGTGCAGGATTGAACCGCTCCTGTATTGTGTTGAATGTTTGTACTCTGGTTTTGAAGGGGACTGGCCTGTCTCTCTCGGTTACTCTGTGATCACTGATGATGATGGACTAAGGACTGTGCTGGCTGTGGAATGAGACTTTGTCTCAGTGTGTGAGTCAGAAAGTGCTGTAGTGAAGCCCAGTTGATTGGATTATGAGCACCCATTGCCCTGTGCTTTGCGGGCATTTACAGAATGAGGACGATCTTATTGAAACAACACATCCTGAGAATCTTTGACAGGCTGGACCCTGAGAAAGTGGTTCCTCTTGTGGAGAAATCTTTAAAATAATAATGAATGTTAACAGTAGTTTTAAAAGTTAAGGACCTTCCATTTAAGACAGAGAGAAGGAAGATTTTCTTCCAGGGAGAAGAGATTACTGAGGGCTTAGAGCAGTGCGGTTAGGTCATTCATTATACTTGAGGCTGAGTTTGACAGGTTTTGGCTCAATGAGGGATTCGAGGGTCATAGGGGAGCAGACGAGAAAGTGGAGTTAAAATCACAATCGGAGACCAGCCTTGATCTTGCTGAAGAGTGGTGTTTAGATTTGATGGGCCAAATGGCCTACCCTGCTTCTATTTCTCTTTACATCATGGCCTATTAAACTGTTAATGAGCCTGTTACATCCTTCCACTGTTTGCCACTGCTCTGTAAGAAGACCACAATAGTGCAGGCTGTCAACCTGGGGCAACAGTCCAGCAAAGAGGAGCTTTGTTTCTGTGTCTGTGAACCCCTCACCCTCAAGTCCCTCATCGTCGCAGCAATCCCTCCACCCCCCAGCCCCAGGAGCCTCACCCTTGTGGCTCTGGAGAACACTTACACCATTATCAGCTGCGCTATCTCCAGCTGTTAACTCTTTCTCTTCCTTTCCCCCCTCCTCCCACAGTTTATCATTACCAGCTGAAGATCCACTTCTGCAGCAAGGTCAACCACTTTGACATCGACCCCGCCCTCTCAGTGTCTCTTCATGGGACCAAGAGTGACGTGAAGGACCTTCCCGTCGAAATGTAAGTACAGTTTCATCCCAAGCTCCGACTGTTCGGAATTGTATCCACTTTATACTGACGCCTTTAAATTTGGCCATGATTTGGCCAAAGGGTAGACCAACCCTTTCAATCCTCCACAGTTCCCTTCGCCCACTCCCCCATGTACCCACTCCCCAATTTCCCTTGCCTGTTAAATCATGACCATGCTATGGTCCTGTTGCCTACCAGCTATGTCTACCTCTCCTCATCCCATTCGCTGTGGTTTCCTTCCGCACCTACCAGTGGTCCTGAACCCCTCTGTTACAATGTTCTCTTTGCAGCTATTCTGTGCTGTCAGTGAGTCAAACCAGTATGTTCACATGCATTGCCGGATCTGACAGCAACATGGCAAGACTGCACGCCAAGAACCAAAGTGCAGAACCCCCTTGTGTGTAAGATGCTGTTGCTGGTTCCTTGTGCTGAAGCTCAGCTGCAGGGAGCTGCAGCAAATCAGTGTCAGGAGGAGCAACCAAAGGGTAGAGATTCCAGCTTCCGTCACCATCGATAACCTCACTGTGGACATTGTCAATGACTTCACATGCTTTGGATGAATAACTACCAGAAAATTGTCAAAATCAACATCAGAATTTCCGAGGTCACGGGTGCCATTGTTGAAGTTGGAAGGTTGAATGTGAACTGCTAGCAACTGATGGAACCTCCCTGTCACCAGGCTGGTGCTCACAGCCCTTCTTCACAATAACAAAGAACAGACAACTTAGGCAAGTCAAGAAGAGGTTCCATCTCTACTGTCCTAGACACATACTAGACATCTCCTGCAAGAAAATGTCAAATATGCAGGTAGACAGGCCTACAAGGATCCCCAGCATGGTTTGCCCTTGTGTCATTGGCTGGGTCATGTGAGCTAATGGGTTGTGGTCAAATCCCCAAAGACATGCTCCATCAGGAGCTCAGTACCAGTATGACACCAATAGGTTACCCATGTCACTGATACAGGGGCATGTGAGACCTCAGGCTGACCCAGATCAGATCAGTACTGCTGCCTGGAGACAAGCAACCCAGAAGGTGAAGGAGAAAACAAGACAAAAGGAATAAGTTGACGGGGGAAGAGAGGGCCAGCAGGAAGGAGGCAAACAGCAGTTGGACTGAGGCCAGTAAGTCCTCACCCTGACCAGTAGCTGCAGGGGCTGGCACTCTCAACCCAACATCTCCTGCCACAGCACATGCTGTCGAATCAGAATGAACATACAGCCAGGCCAGATACAGGCCAGCATATCCATGGGCAGGGAGGCTTGGCATAGAAATAGACTCGAAACCAACTGGCCCATGCCATTGTTTATGCTCCCATGCCAAGCTACTCCCAACCGCGTTTACCTCACCCAATCACACTATCCTTCACTTCCTTTCTCCCTCCTGTTTATCCAACCCCTACCCTTAATTGTATCCATGTTTTTCACCATAATGTTAGATGTAGTGAATGGTTTTAATCAGAGAGTGTTTTATTACCAGACTGAATTCATCATTAGACATGTGCAACTCTGTCTTGTTTCATCTTAGTATGCATCCTGAGGTTAGCCCTTGGCAGGTACAGTGAGAGTTGCCAATGAAAGCTGAGTTGGTGTGAAGTGGCACAGAGGCTGAACCTGGCCAGGATCGGGAGTGAAGGGGCAGTAAAGGTGGGCAGAGGAATGATGTGGCAGAGGTGTAGGCATGGCCATTGTGTTGGGTGGGGAAGGTGAGGGGGGAAGTTTTGATTCTTGCAGCTGGGGTGCCAGGGTGCTGATGTGGGCTGGATACCACAATCCGTCTCCACCTATCCATGCCCATCTCTGTGCCCACAGCCCCTGGTACCCTCCCATCAGAGCCTGACTCCCCAAGTCAGATTTGCGGAGTTGAGAATTTTCCTGATTGTCTGCTCTGGACCCGGAAATAAAAATTTCGGTCTAGAAAAGAGGGTTCCAGTCACAGTGTGCGTATGGAAACACAAAGAAGGCTAGTGAGCTGCAGGTGCAAATAGACTCATTGGAATAAAATGTTGGGGCAAAAACTGAGACCTTGCTCGAAGAAGAACAGGAATACTACTGATAATTCCTGAGATACAAAGTGTGGAGGAAATGCTGCGAAAGTCAGAAAGGAGGATGGATCACAGTACAGATGATGGTTGCTATTACAAGAGAGCAGAGATCTCCTGGATCTGTCGAGGATGGAATCTATTTGATTGGAATTAAGATACAGTAGAGGTACCATTACCTTGTCTGGCATAGTCTATAGGTGCCCAACTATTGTGGAAGATGTTCCCCATGGTAGGCTGATGGAGAAAGTGAAGTCGCATGGCGTCTAGGGTGTACTAGCTAGATGGATAGAGAACTGGCTGGGCAACAGGAGACAGAAAGTTGTAGCGGAAGGGAGTTTCTCAAAATGGAGAACTGTGACCAGTGGTGTTCTGCAGGGATCCGTGTTGGGAGCACTGTTGTTTGTGATATACATAAATGATCTGGAGGAAGGTATAGATGGTCTGATTAGCAAGTTTGCAGATGACACTAAGATTGGTGGAGTAGCAGATAGTGAAGGGGACTGACGGATTCAATTCAATTAATAAATCTGCACTTTTGAAAATATTAAATAATGACTATGAAACTATTGTTGATTGTTGTAAGAATCTGATTCACTGACATCCTTGTGGGAAGGAAATCTGCCTTGGCACAGTGGTTAGCATTGCTGCCTCACAGCACCAGGGACCCAGGTTCGATTCGTCCCTCGGGTGGACTGTCTGGGTAGAGTTTGCATGTTCTCCCTGTGTCTGTTGGGTGCTCCAGTTTCCTCCCACAGATGTGATGTTTAGGTGGATTGGCCATGCTAAATTGCCCATGGTGTCTAGGGGTGGGAAATGCAGGGATAGGGTAGATGGTGGGTCTGAGTGGGATGCCCTTTGGAGGATTGGTGTGGACTCGATGGGCCAAATGGCCTGCTTCCATACTGTAGGGACTGTAATGATTCCCGGTCAGACCTACATGTGACTCCTAATTGCCCTCTGAACTGTGACTGAAATGACTGAGCAAGCAGCTCAATTCCAAGACAATTAATGAGCTTGCCATTGATGCCAACATCCCATAAAAGAATTTTTTAAAAAGTCACTGGTATTTACTGTCTTTTAACCCTCCAGGCCTTTTAGCAAACTGACTCCACAAATGCATGCGGTAACAATTTGGTTGTTTTGCTGGATTTATAACTAATAATCCAGCAAATCCAATCTCCCAACGCCCCCATATCAGGTTGATCATTTGAAATTGTAGCATCACAGTAGGTGGCCATTTGGTCCATTGTGACTGTAGAGTCACGTAAACCAGTTCCAGCCTCTCCCTGGAGCCCTGCCACACTAATTCATCACAAATTCATTCTTTTCTTTCCCCAAAGAAAATTACAGCACAGGAACGGGCCCTTCGGCCCTCCAAGCCTGCGCCGATCCAGATCCTCTATCTAAACCTGTTGCCTATTTTCCAAGGATCTGTACCCCTCTGCTCCCTGCCCATTCATGTATCTGTCTAGATACATCTTAAATGATGCTATCCTGCCCTCCTCTACCACCTCCGCTGGCAACGCATTCCAGGCACCCACCACCCTCTGCGTAAAGAACTTTCCACGCATATCTTCTTTAAACTTTCCCCCTGTCACCTTGAAATCATGACCCCTAATAATTGAGTCCCCCACTCCGGGGAAAAAGCTTCTTGCTATCCACCCTGTCTATACCTCTCATGATTTTGTAGACCTCAATCAGGTCCCCCCTCAACCTCCATCTTTCTAATGTAAATAATCCTAATCTACCCAACCTCTCTCCATAGCTAGCGCCCTCCATACCAGGCAACATCCTGGTGAACCTCCTCTGCACCCTCTCTAAAGCATCCATATCCTTTTGGTAATGTGGCAACCAGAACTGTACACAGTATTCCAAATGTGGTCAAACCAAAGTCCTATACAACTGTAACATGACCTGCCAATTCTTGTACTCAATACCCCGTCCGATAAATGAAAGCATGTCGTATGCCTTCTTGACCACTCTATCGACCTGCGTTGCCACCTTCAGGGTACAATGGACCTGAACACCCAGATCCCACTGTGCATCAATTTTTCCCCAGGGCTTTTCCATTTACCGTATAGTTCGCTCTTGAATTGGATCTTCCAAAATGCATCACCTCGCATTTGCCTGGATTGAACGCCATCTGCCATTTCTCCACCCAACTCTCCAATCTATCTATATTCTGCTGCATTCTCCGACAGTCCCCTTCACTATCTGCTACTCCACCAATCTTAGTGTCATCTGCAAACTTGCTAATCAGACCATCTATACTTTCCTCCAGATCGTTTATGTATATCACAAACAACAGTGGTCCCAACACGGATCCCTGCAGAACACCACTGGTCACAGTTCTCCATTTTGAGAAACTCACTTCCACTACAACTTTCTGTCTCCTTTCCTGGGATTTGAAACCCATGTCCACAGAACTTTAGCCATGATCTCCGGAATACTGATGCAGTGATGTTACCACAGCACCACCTCTTCCTTATTTTGAGTGAATATTCAAGTTTGAATTCATAAGGCCACCAATAGCCTGACTGAGCTGAGCTGGATGATTATATGGTCCACATTACATTCCACGTCACAGAATGTAGCAAATCTGCACTGTGATGGTACAGAAGAGAGTCTTGAATCTCTGCCTTGCTTTTTGTGACCTTGGAATGTTCAAAAGTACCTTTCAGTCTATGAGGTGCTAACACAATGCAGTGATTGTTGTGATGTATGAAAGCTGGAGCCATTGTTACACAGCAAGATCCACAAAACAGTGGATCTGAGGAAGGGTCACTCAACCCGAAACGTTAACCCTGATTTCTCTCCATAGATGCTGCCAGACCTGCTGAGCTTTTCCAGCAATTTCTGTTTTTGTTTCTGATTTACAGCATATGCAGTCCTTTCGGTTTCCACAAACAGTGATGGCTTTAGCACTGTTAGTTAAATCTTCAGTGTCAGTCAGGGTTCAGAGGATAATTCCCTTCATTGAAATGACATCAGGTGACCTTTTAAATCTGTTTAAGGTCACAGACTGACCCTCTGTTTAGTGATTTATTCAAAAAATGGTGGAGACAGTGGTCACCAATTTAATTTGAAGTTTCTTTTGTTTACAGTTTAAACACAAAGTCAGCTTGATGTCACAATAGATGGCCAACATTTTGGCATCGTTATTTTGTGAATGTCTCATTTGTCATCTCGAGTTTTTTTTCCTCACCACAGCCTGTTTTCAGGTTTTGATTTATCTTACAATTTACAATTTGTGTTTTCTTTATGTTGATATCAGTCAATGATAAGTAACCCTCTGCATTGCTGCGCTCTGACCTCACACTGTTACAATGTTAGGCCTGAGACGATGAGTTCTGGACTAACCAATGGGCTTGGCTGCATAGTTACCCTCCTTCAGTCACACAATGGGGCAGCACTGCCCCCATTGATCATTCTTTTCTAGAGAGCTCTTCCTGAAGATTGTGCTGGTGTTTGAAGCACTATTAGGCCAAGGAGGAATGTTTGGAATCTATCCCAACTGGAACAGGGAATCAAACCCCATGCTGTTGGCAGTGATCCGGTCCACACTTAACTCTAACCCTATCACTATCCAGGTGACTGAGCCAATGGCCCGTGCCAGAGGATGGCAAGTCATTTTTCCAGGTCTGTCACTGACCTCGTCTCCTCTGGAGAGTTTCCCACCTTTAGTCCCACAACCCTGAGCAGCCTTCTTTGACCTCCTCCCCAAAATTCACAAAGAAGGCTATTCTGGCAGACTCATCATTTCCTGTCCCACTGTGCTGTGTTTTATTCCCCTATCTTGATTCCTATCTCCATTGTCCAGTCCCTCCCTATTTGCATTGTGTCTCTTCTGATTCCCTCCATCTCTTTAACACTTTCTGATGTCCTTGTCCTAAGTGTCTCCTCTCTCTCTCTCCCCCTCTCACTCTGTCTCTCTCTTGCTCTAGACCAGGGACCTTGGAAGTACCACAGCTTTAATTATTCACAAGCTGTTCCAAATATTTGTTAGTGATAGAGTTGTTACTTTCTCTTCTGGATCTGCGTGCAATCGTACTCTCCCTGCACAACTTTTATCTTAATCCCTGGGAGCTCCTGTGTGCTTAACCAGTTCTTCCCGCAACCCCCCCCCACCTCCCAGGAGGACAATAGTGTCTTCCAGGAGATTGTGTTTAGCTTGAACTCTGGCCCTAATGAGTAAGCCATCCGCTCTGACCCTTCCTTGGCTGGCTGAACTTGATCTCTCATTGAAACATTTCTCTTTCCACTTTGTTCAAATGAAGCTGTTACCGTGGATACTGATGTGGGCCCTTGTTATGCCCATCTTTTTGTGTGGAATGTGGAACATTCATTGTCCTCCTCTTCTTTGGGCACCTTCCCCATTCTCCAGTACGTTCATCTCCGTATCAGAGTCACTTCCAGCTCTCACCCAAACTGGAAATCTTCCACTTTCACCTCAACTTGTCTTTGCCATGTCCCTGTGCTTCATTTCCCTGTCACCATTTTGGGGAATCTGCTGTCTGCTAATATTAGTTATAAATTCCATTGACTCTGAAAGCTACCCGGCTGCACTTTCACACCTTGACTGCTGTGAGGGCTCCATTCCATTCTCCCTGTTTCCCCATTTCCATTGCATCTGTTTGTTCCTTCTTCCAAATATAATCCCTACAGTGTGGAAGCAGGCAATTCAGACCATCGAGTCCACACTGACCCTCGAACAAGCATTCCACCCAGACCCACCCCCCGACCCTATCTCTGTCACTCTGCATTTCTAATGGCTGACCCACCTAGCTTGCATATCCCTGGAGACTATAGCATGGCCAATCCACCTAGCCTGCACATCTTTGGATTGTGGGAGGAAACCGGAGCACCCGGAGGAAACCCACACAGACACGGGGAGAACGTGCGAAAACCACACAGACAGTCACATGAGGGTGGAATCAAACCCGGGTCCCTAGCACTGTGAGGCAGCAATGTTAACCACTGAGCCACCGTGCTGCCCAGAGGATTCCTCTACTGAGGACACCCTCAGTACCATTCACATGGCTCTCAACTATGTCTGATTCATTTCCTGCCCTTCTGTTTCCCCTCCTACCCTGCCACCCAGAAGTACCCTTCCACCCCATCAGCTTCCACATTTAAAGGAGCATTGCCATTTCCACCAGCTCGATTCACTAGCACCAATAAATGAATCTCCCCTTCTCTTGCCTGTCACCATCATAAAGGACCGTTCCCTCTGTAACACACTGTTCTACACCTAGATCACTCAAAACTCCTTGGCATGTTCTACGCATCTGCAAAAGGTGTAATACTGGCCTTTTACCTCCTTTTTCCTTGCTCTCCAAGCCCCTAAGTCATCGTTCCAGGTGAAGCAACAATTTACTTGTACAACTTTCAACTTAATCCACGGTATTTGCTAGAACAATGCAGTCGCTGCACATCAGGGTGAACAAACACAGAGGGACTGACTGCTTTGTGGGACACCTTTGTGTCTGCGACCATAATCCCAAACCATACGCCACCCAGCTCTCATACTGACATCTGTGTGCTCTGTCTGCTGCACTGTTCCAGTGTGGCTTCAGGAACAGCAACTCATCTTCTGACTCCCCATTTCACAGCTTCTGGAATCAACGCAGAGTTCAACAATTTCCAACTGTCTGTATTTCCAAACTCTGCACCAACCCCCCCACCCCCCAGCCACTCATGTTGCAGCTTTAATCTTATTTTTCATGTTTTTGCATTTGAATAGCAGCTGCTTGCCTTGCCGTCCTTTAGACTCATCTTATGTTCCTTTATTTGCCTGTCTGGCCATTTCCACGAACTTTTCTCTCTTGTCATTTAATGTCTCGCACCTTCCTTCTCACTTATTACCTTTTGTTCTATTTTCAGCCTCCCCCATTTCTCTGAAACTATGAGGGCTCTTATGATGCAATGGTTGTGTCCCTACCTCTGGACCAGCAGACCAGGGGTCAAGTGTCACCTCCAGACCTGTGTAATAACATTACTGAACAGGCTGATTAGAAAATATCGAAGACTATGACCTTTCTAACTTCTCCCGGATCTGATGCATGCTTGTGTACTGAAATGTGAGCTGTGTTTCTCTCCACGCAGACACTGTCTGATCTGCTGAGGATTTCCTGTGATCCCTGGGATGGCAGGTTTATGTGTGAGGAGACACCGGATTGGTTAGCACCAGAGTTTAGAGGAACGAGGAAGGTTCTTGGAGAAACCTGTTAAATTCTAACAGGACTGGATGGGGTAAACTCGGGAAGGATGTTCCTGACGATCAGGGAGCCCAGGACCAGAGGGGGCCACAGACTAAAGATAGGGAGTTTGCTATTTTATGACAGATGAGAGTAGGTGTCTTCAGCCAGAGGGTGGTGCATTCTCTGCCACAGAAAATAGTAAAGGCCAAATCATTGAATCTTTTCAAGAAGGAGCTAAATATAGTTACATAGAACATAGACCTGTACAGCACAGGAACAGGCCGTTTGGCCCACGAAGTTGTACCGAGCATGACGACAAATTAAACTAATCCCTTCTGCCTGACCTTTGTCCATATCCCTCCATTCCTTGCTTATTCATGTGTTTATCTAAAAGCCCCTTAAACACCCCTATTGTATCTGCCTCCACCACCATCCCTGGCAGTTCTTTCCACACTCCTACCCCTCTCTGTGTAAAAAGAAAACTTGCCCCTCACATCTCCTTTGAACTCTTTCCACCTCCCCCCACCCTCACCTGAAATGCATGTCCCCTAGTATTAGACATTTCAACTCTGGGATAAAGATTCTGATTGTCAACCCTATCTGTGCATCCTATAATTTTATAGACTTCTATCAAGTCTCCCCTCAGTCTCCGCCGCTTCAGAGAAAACAACCAGAGATTTTCCAGCCTCTCCTTATAGCTCATACCCTCTAATCCAGGCAGCATCATGGTAAACCTGTTCTGCACCCTCTCCAAAACGTCTACGTCTTTCCTGTGATGTGGCGACCAGAAGTGAACGCAGTACTCTAAATGTGGCCTAACCAAAGTCTTATAAAGCTTCAGGTCTAAAGTTCTCAGGTCTAACAGGATTAAAGGGTATGGAGAGCAAATGGGAACAGATACTGAGTGAAATGATTGAATGATGGAGCAGGTTTGAAGGGTTGAATGGCCTACTCCTGCTCCTATTTTCTATGTTTCTAAGTTTGGATTTTTCCACACTGAGCCTCAAACTACGTGTGTCACTCATCACACTGCACCAACTGCCAAAGATTCATTTGAGGCAAGAGATACATCAACCATGCCCTCTCCTACGGTTGACATTTTCAAACCACAGTGTACTTGGGCATCCAATACCTTCTCTTCCCTTTGGTAAAACCATCAAGCTTCACTCGAGCTGTCTCATTCCTTTATTTAGTGTGGAGATGTTTGCACCCAACAAGACCCATTCATTCTTGGTGGTGACCGAGGTGGATATTGGAGATCTACTGCTGATGAAGTTTAAGTGGGAGTCCTCCTTAACCTGGGGATCGCTGTGGAAAAGGATGCAGAGTTCCATCGCTTGGTACAAACTTTCGCTGTGGGCCCCCTCCGTCATTTCCAACTTCGATATCCATGTGGAGAGGATCCAGGTGAAGTGTGGAGAATCTCAAAAAAAGTAAGGACAAGGCGATTTGTCAAGCTGTTTCTCTGAGCTGACTCGTCATGTTTCAATACAGCTCTGCCAGAGAGACCTGGGATAGGTCTCCTTCTTTTCTCTAACATTCAATTACAAGGACTCTGTGCGGATTATTAACCAGCACTGGTGCTCCTCAGCACGTGATTCCTTTTGGTGTCGTCTTGTTCAACATAAGTTGGACTGTAAGTTTAATGTATTTCGAAAGAGGTCAGAGAAGTGTGAGGTGATGCACTTTGGTTGGAGGAACATTTGAGATTCAATATGAAAGAGGGGTGCAGGAGCAGAGGATCCTGGGGGTATGTGTGCACAGACCATTGAAGATGACCAGATGAGTGGAGAGAGCAGTTCATAAAGCATAGCGTTCTCAGCTTTATCAATAGGGGCACTGAGTACAAGGGCAGGGAGATGATGTTGAACTTGTACAAGGTGCTTGTTAACCCTCAGCTGGAGTACTGTGGACAGTTTCTGGCACCAGATTATAGAAAAGATTTGAATGTAAGGGAGAGAGAGCAGAAGCAATTTACAAGAATGATTGCAGAAATGGGAAATTTCAATGATGAGGATAGATTGAAGAAGTTGGGACTGCTCTCCTTGGAGAGAAGGCAGCAGAGAGGAGATTTGATTGAGGTTTTCAAAATTATGAGCGGGCTGGTTAGAGTAGACAGGCAGAGACTGTTACCACTCATGAAAGAATTAAAGAACAAGAGGACAGGAACCCAGGTTCGATTCCACCCTGGGCGACTGTCTGTGTGGAGTTTGCACATTCTCCCTATGTCTGCGTGGGTTTGCTCCCACAGTCCAAAGATGTGCAGGCTAGATGGATTGGCCATGCTAAATTGGCTGTAGTGTCCAGGGATACGTAGGTTAGGTGGATTAGCCATGGGCATTGTAGGGTTATGGGATAGGGTAGGGTGATGGGTCTGGGTGGGATGCTCTTCAGAGGGTTGGTGTAGACTCGATGGGCCAAATGGCCTGCTTCCACACTGTAGGGATTCTATGAAAATGATGTGCAAATAAAGCAATGGTGATGTGAGGAAAGTCCTCTTTCACCAGTGAGTAGTTAGGATATGGAATGCGCTGCCTGGAATTGTGATGGAGGCAAGTTCAATGGAGGCTTTCAAGAGAACACTGGATGGTTATTTAGATAGAAATAATGTGCAGTGATGTGGGAGAAAAGGCAGGAGATTGTCTCTGGATGATAGAACAGTACAGGCTTAATGGATGAATGGCCTCCTAACAATTCTATGATTGATTCTCTCTAACTATCTGATCTATCTCAGTGTTTCTCCTCAGAACGAGCCTCATCAAACCACATTAACATAGACTATGTAGTTCTGGACCCGAAACCTCTCTCTACACATGCCGCCAGCCCAGCAATGTCTGTCTGTTTTTGTTTAACGTAGACTGCCCTCACTGTTACAGATCTTCTGTACCTTGCCTCCAACACCCCTCTGTTCCCCAGCCTTCACTGAAGTGTCATTACAATTTTCCAGCTTTGAAATCAGAGAGGTGATTGGCCTCGTGGTATTATCACTGGACTGTTATTCCAGAGACCTGGGTCATGTTCTGTGGACCCGGCTTCAAATGGCAGATGGTGGAATTCGGATTTGATTAAAAATTAGGAATTAAGAGTCTAAAGATGACCATGAATCGATTGTCACTCATGCCCTTTTTAGGAAGGAAACTGCCATCCTTACTTGGTCTGGCCTACATATGATATCGGCCTCACAGCAATGTGGTTCACTCTCAACTGCCCTCTTTGCAATAAATGCTGGTCCAGCCAGCAATGCTCTCATCCCATGAATGAATTTTTAAAAAAGGGTGTGACGGTGGGAAAATGTTTGTCAAGCACAGACCTAGCTAATGTGTGATTAGCCATATTGCTGCTGCATTACTTCTGCCACCAACACCACTGCCTTGGAACAGTTGTGTGTGTGTGTGTGTATGTGCATGTGCGTGTGTGTGTGTCCGAGTCGGCACCCGCCTCTGGACCGATCATTATGGGATGTGAGCCTTGCACTGACAGAGTGCTGCCTGAAGCTATCGTTGGGTGAGCAGCAGGTACTGCCTGTAAGGAAGGCCTGGCCTTGTGTCCCAGGTGGATCTGGGTCAGACACAACCATTGGACCAAATATGACCTGGGGGTTCCAAAGGAGCTGTTTCTATCTGGATGCTGGTTGGATATTGGAATTTGAAATATTGAAATAGTTAGTGACTGCCCTGTGTCTGAGGGAAATTTAAGGGGAGAGGACTCTCTGTCCTGGCACAGACAGGGGGCTGTCAATAGCTCCAAGTCATCAATTCATCCAAGACCACCACCCACCCACCCCTCCCCCCCGCCCAAAAGACTGAAAAACTTGTAGTTATTGATCTTTGGGGGATCAGAATAATGGTCAATGCTTTGTGAAAATGTAGGGTTAGAAATGAGAAAAAGATGTTTAACCACAACCTTCAGATATGAATGATCGTTGAGTGGTGAAGTGTTAAAGAAAGCAATTAGTTATATTTGTACCCACTTGACTCGCTGTGTGTTTTTCTGCGTCCAGGACGACATTCTGCTTAAAGGACTCTTCAGCTGGGATCTCCCCCTCTCAGGAGGTCACCTTGGTCAAATGCCCAGCCAGAATCAAGACAGGGTCTACTGGGAGGTAAGCATGAGCTGCAGCTAACCTCCTGTCAATCTTCCAGCAAAACCTTGCCTTCTGCAGCTGCTCAGCTGGGACTTAATGCCCCCTCCTCACTCCCCACCCACCCCACTCCACCCCCCACCCCCCCCCCCCCCCCCACACATGCACACACACACACCCCGTGCACATATGTCTGTGTCCACAAGCTGCCTCACCCAGCAACCGCTGCACCCACACATGTACACACGTGCGTGCCCACATGTACGCACAGTGCATGGCCATGTGCACGCAAACACCGGTGCAGACACACGCACACATCTCTGACCTGTGGGTCCAGCTGTTATGTACAAGCTATTCCGCTCAGGATTGTGTGCTTGGAACCTGACTCCCACCTTCCCCTCACCTCACAGACCCAGGAATCTATTCACAGTTCCTTATCCAGGAGGTTAGCGATAGACTCGGAAAAACAAACTGGGAGAAACCACCCCTGGATACAACAATGTTTTACCCAGTCTGTGAATATCACCCGTTTTGACAACCAGGCTGTTAGGAAGATAAGAGCAGGAGTAAGTCATTCAAGCCTTAAGCCTGTTCCACCATCCTTGATCATGGCTGATCGTTTCCCTCATATCGTCATTTCCCTTACCATTATTCATAACTGGGGAGGCGATGGTCTATCCATTGGTATTATCACTGGACTGTTAATCCAGAGACCCAAGTAATGTTCTGGGGACCTAGGTTCAAATCCCGCCACAGCAGATGGTGGAATTTGAATTCAATAAATATCTGGAATTAAGAATCTAATGATGACCATGAATCCATTGCCGATTGTCGAGAAAACCCATCTGGGTCACTAATGTCCTTTAGAGAAGGAAACTGCCATCCTTACCTGGTCTGGCCTACATGTGACTCCAGACGCACAGCAATGTGGTTGACTCTTAACTGCCCTCTGGGTAATTAGGGATGGGCAATAAATGCTGCCTAGCCAGCAATGCCCTCATCCCGTGAATGAATAAAATAACTTGCAATCTATCAATTTCTTGTAAAAGCAAAATACTGTGGATGCTCTAGATCTGAAACAAGTGCTGGAGAAACTGAGCAGGTCTGACAGCATCTGTGGACAGAAAACGTTTTGAGTCTGATATGAATCCTCAGTCCTGAAGGAGCCATATCAGATTCAAAAAGTTAACTCTGTCTCTCACTGCACAAACTGTACTCACTCTGTTTCTGCTACCAATCTCTGTCCTGAACCTGCTCAATAACTGAACCTTCCCAGCCCTTTTGGGGTAGAGAATTTCACAGATTCATCCCCCTCTGAGTGACGAGTGTTATGGATGAGACCCAACCTCCTCAAAATATTCAGAAAATAGTCTAGACCTGAACTTTTTCTTATTTTAAGGCAAAACACACTATTCATCCACTATAGTTATAATACAACAAAAGAAAGAAGGAATTAGAATAACTTTATTCTCGATTGGAAAACTTAACAGAACAATAGATACAGTAACTATTACTGTTCCAATATAGCAACATCCCATAAACACACCCCTTGGCAAAAGGCAAATTCAGAGAAACAGATTGTCTCACATGCAGGAAGATAACATCAAAAAACAGTTCTGAGAGAGAGAGAACTCCAGCTTTTAGCTGTAGCAAAGAGAGATGTGGCAGCTTTTTCACATCTCCAGCAGCTTCTGCTGAATTCTAAAACTAAAGATCTGGTTCTGAGATTGACCACACCCATTCAGACTGCTTCTCATTATATCATAGAATCTCCTACAGGAAACAGGCCCTTCAGCCCAACAAGACCACACTGAACCTCTGAAGAGCATTCCCCCATAATCCTGCATTTCCCATCACTAACACACTTAAAGTGCACACCCCTGAACACTACAGGCAATTTAGCCTGGCCAATCCACTTAGCCTACATATCTTTGGACTGTGGGAGGAAACCCACGCAGACACAGGGAGAATGTGCAAACTCCATGCAGACAGTTGCCTGAGGGTGGTTTCGAACCCAGGTCCCTGGCACTGAGAGGCAGCAGTGCTAACCACTGAGCCACCGTGCCACCCATCCATTGTTCCAACTTTAAAAAAAACATCCAAGGCTTCACAAGTTGTTTATCTTCTTGTAGGCTGCTCGTCACCTGTCCCTCAATCTCTCTGTAGAAGAAACCAGGATGAAACACATCTCTTAAAGCCATAGTATTGTCACCAGAGGCTCCTCCATAGCTAAGTGCTAATTTGCTTGCCTTTGTTTCTACGAGATCACCTGCTATTCTTTCGTAGAGAATACAGGCCCAGTCTCCTCAACCTCTCCCCACAGGACAGCCCTGCTATCCCAGGAATCTGTGGTTTTCCCACCTTTTGAGGGCTGGCACCTGTTTACTAATGACTTGTAGTTCTAACCAAGTGCAGTGGGGCAAAGAAACAGTGAGTGAGGAGACTTGGCTTGAGGCTACTGATGTCCAAGCATAATGTCAGGCCAAGCTTTTGTAGGGTTGTTGCAACACAGAGTAAGGCTGTTTGGCCCATCAAGTCCATGCAGACGTAGACCAGCCCTGTGTGCAGACAATGTCACTGTATTGTGAGCACTTAAGGCTGTGAAATTGACGTTTGACCATGTGTTGTTACATCTCACCGTCATCTTTCTCTGTCTTTCACAGACACCATGGTCACAACCACTGAGAGGCATTAATAGCGCCGTTTCCCTGAACCAACCAGCAATGGCAACTAATCATTGATCCTCATAACAAGATTGACCCTTTAGGTTTTGTGTTTACTTTTTGAAATGGTATTTATTTGTATATGCTGTAAAAGCACTGTAAATATTCTGTAAAGTAGATTCATGTGACTGTTACCAAAATAATTTAGAGATTTTATATATAATGGTTTCCAAAGATGTGCAATGTACAGTACATAGAGAGAAAGAAAAATCTGCAGCTGCTGGAAATCAGAAATAAAAACAGAAATTGTTGCTGGAAAAACTCAGCAGGTCTGGTAGCATCTGTGGACAGAAAGCGGAGTTAAAGTTTCAGGTCCGGTGACCCTTCCATTCTGAGGAAGGATCACTCGACCTGAAACTTTAACTCCGCTTTCCATCCACAGATGCTACCAGACCTGCTGAGTTTTTCCAGCAATTTCTGTTCTTCCTACAGTACATTGAGACCTTACCTCCCCACTGTTGTCATGATGTAGTCTATAGCGCACTGCCCACACCCCCATTCAGCACCAACTCCTGTCATGATATAGTCTATAGCGCACTGCCCACACCC